CAGTGCTTTTGTTTCAACCAGTTGACTAGGGGATGTTTTCCCCAAAAGAATAGCTCCACTTATTCATGTAAATCCAAGATACTATTGGGTAAACCACTTGTATTCTTGAATATACAAATTCCATCTAACAAGTGAAACTCATTGGGCCCTTCGTATCTTGATAGTCATCAGTCGAATCTACTCCAAAATGGATGTGTCAGGAACAGCAACTCAATTGTTCAGTGTTTACAAGTGTTACAGTGGTAGCTTGCTCTCAGGCAGCTCACATATCCCCTAAAAGACCATGTAGGTAAAGAGTTCATTTCCTCCTTAGAAAGACACACAGAAATGCAAGTCACCTATGGGGGATTGTCTCCCAATAAGTATAAATTGTAGAAAACTGAAATGACACACACCCCAAAAATAGTTTAGCTGTTTGTGCTGTAAACAGGTTTGTGGTAGAACTCTGTCATCCATGATTTATACAAAAAAATAGTAAGAAGTTTTTACAGAATTCTAAAGCTCTCCAGTAACATCAGTTCTGACAATACTGATACACTTTACCAACTTAGAACACCTTAGATAAAATTCTTGGACAGCCCATCAAAGCCCAGCTGCAACGTAAGTACCATTTGTATTTTCAACTTTAATTTTCTCCTCAGTTTTTTTCTCTTTTGTTTCTTGTTTTCCATTTGACTTCACACATAAGCCCAGCTAATCTTCACTACTGGATGTTAGACAAAATATAGTTCTCCCGATAAGCCTCAGGAGAGTCTTGAGGTTTGATTGAAGGAGAGATTATCAAGACACAGAATCAAAGCAGATTCCTTTTAGGCAATTCAGCTTGGCATCATTACAATAAGATTACATTAATAAGAACATGCAAATTCTAGAACAAAACTATACTAAACACATCCTGATATCCCAAGCAAGAGGGCTAGCAGTTATATAATGTGGAGCTCAAGCTGGCTTATCTTAACATTCATCTATTAAGCCCAATTTTGTTTCATGACCTAGTCTTAAGAGACTGTCATGACAATTTAACTTCCATTCCCCTAAGAGCCCATCTACAATGGCTTATGAGAGGCTAAGAGCCAAATTCCAGGTTGGCTTCAGTTATGTCTAATGTCAATTTGCTTATCCCACACAGGGAATCATATGAACATCCTCAGGCAGACTGTTAAAAAGGATAAGGTCAGGTTCCCTAGGAAGCTTTTTCACCCCAAAGGTGAAATGTACTATCTCTATGATTCTATGCCCAGATAGAATCACAGCTATATTTATCAGTCCATTATAGTTCTTTACATTCTAGACCTTATGTTCTCAGACTACACTGTTTCAGAGGTCTCAAGGTTTTAGTAAAGTGCAAACATCATCAGTCTACATTGCTGTGTCCATGTGTATGTTATGGATTAAGGCACTTTTTTTGTTTGGATTACAAACCACATTACTTGATAAATAGCTGAGAAAAAAGGGAGTGGGTTAGTTAGAAGTCAAAGAAGAACTTCACTTACTCTATGAATACAAGCCTTCTAAGAAGAAAAAAAAAAGATTCTTGCAAGTATTCAGTTTCCTAAATAACATTATAGTGGAGCAAAAACCATGCTCCTGTAAAAAAGCCAATTATTCCCTTTTGGTCAAATAGGAAAATCAACAATAAGGTCATCAATTTCTTCGGCAACATCCACTGCCATTGCCACCCTTATGTTCCATTAAAGCTCACTTATTTATAGCCTGTTTTGACTACAATTTTTTTTTGGCATATTAAATTCAACTGAGCCTTGGCCCTCCCAGGTGGCACAGCGGGTTAAAGAACAGCACAAAGCACAAAGAAGCTTAAGCCACTTTCGCATGAGTTCGATTCCCGCCTGCCCCAGAGGAGATCCACATGGCGTGGCAGACCTCTCCTGACCCGCCCGCTGCTCCCCTCAGCTGTGTACTTCATCGATCTGTCTGTTTTACACCCCACTCTGTCTCTGGTGAATCCTCTCACCTCCACATCTCTGGCCTGTACCCCAGTTCTGTACAAATAAATAAATCTTTAAAAAAAAAAAATTCAACTGAGCCTTTTCAAAGAAAAAATTTTAAAACAGTGTAGAAATACTATGTTCCCAAAAAGATTCTCCAATATTTAACACATTTTGTAATTCTTGGGGTCAACTATACTTGACAATATTTCTAGCACAATATATCAGCAATTCTCTAGCCTCAGCCAACTAAGGCCTTAGATTAAGAAACAGATTTGCTAATATTGGTACCTACATACACAATCTTAAAACTAATTTCTTGATGCTAGAAAAGTCAAATCCCTGCTTCTTTAATTGTACTAGGTATAAAATATATTACTTCAAAAGCTGTTTCTGGCCCTCCCTGGTGGCGTGCGGGTTAAAGCACTGCACTAAGAAGCTGAAACCACTTCCACATGAGTTCGATTCCCACCTGCCCCGGAGGTGACCACATGGCACGGCAGACCTCTCCTGACCCGCCCACTGCTCCCCTCAGCAGTGTACTTCGTTGATCTGTCTGTTCTGCTCCCTGCTCTGTCCCTGGTGAAGTCGTTCGCCATCCCTGAGTCTCTGGCCTGTACCCCAGTTCTGTATGCACAAATAAATAAATCTTTAAAAAAAAAACACAAAAAGCTGTTTCTATGTCTCAAACTTTTTAAAGCACATTTTCCATTCAATAATATAAACAATCACAACACATCCATCCAATATGTTAATTCATACTCTACTTCTCCCTACTAAACTTGAAATAGGATTCTCTTCTGCTGTGATCACCACTCTTCTTAAAGATAGAGGGAATTTCCAATTTTGGTTTTTCTCTGTAAGGAAATAAGGTTACTTCCTGGAGTTTAAAGAGTCTGCGAAATTTGTACTACTCAGTCTTTAAAGAATTAGTCCTAAGGAAGTTAGCAGCAAGATGATCCAAAACTGGGTAGGAAGTAGCAGAGAAATTTGTAACAGACTTTAAACTTTTTTCCATCTGCTGGGTGGAAAGGATCTTACTACTCTTTTACTTAAGTAGAAGACACCAAAGATCACCTACTCCACTATTCCTTACCAACTATCACAGCAAATCCACACCAGAATGGAATGGATAGGAAAGAGGTTATTTCTGATGAAACACCACCAAGGTAATTTACTGTCTGGATTTTATGGGTATTTAATGTATGCCAGATACAAAATTATAGGTCTTGTCATATTATAAAAATTAAATTGATCAGTCCACAGACCAACCTAGGGTTCACTCACAGATTACACCATAAATTCATCTATAAGCCTAGCCTGTGTGCAGTCATTTTGCTAGGTGACACTTTTGCTGATAAGTCATGAGGAGTACTTAGAAAACTAAAGTGACCCAGGAAATGACCTACTGTAATTTATGCAAAAAAAATGTAGTAAAGATCCTAATGCCAGAAAATAAATTTTCTTAGAATAAGAGGACATGTAACCTATGTTCTTCAATCAAAATTGGCTGAAAATGAACAGATTTTATTGTACTTTTGAGCGCCAACTTTTAACTACATAAATTCTCTCTGGGCTCAGTGATTTTTGTGAAACTGAACTGAACTGTTAAATATAAATCTCACAATAATTAATAAAACCTAAAGATTAGATGACTCCAATTAATGGTAATAAGAATTAGACATATTTTGAAATAATTTGAGTATATACAAAAAGTTGAACAATCTTTAAACACAAAATGGCTAAAATTAAAGTTGCAACTTTTCCACAACTACTTGAAGTGATTGTTACAACAAATAAAAGGGCTTAAGCTTAAATCTCTATTCCAAATTTAGTCAGCTACAAAGTTTCAAACTCACCCTCATGCAACCTCAAAAAATTTAAATAAGATGGTTTATAACAGAAATACTGAAAATATATCAACCTGAATACTTGTAGATTTTCCCCAGTGTTCCACAAATCACATCCAGAAGCCCAAACAAAACAATCACTGAAATGTCTGAGCCCTGCTGCTGAAATTCAGGCTGCAGAACAAGACAGAACTACAGAGAAGGCTGCTCTCTCCCTTTGGTCTTCTGGAAGTCCTAAAGCACACATGCTCACATTGTGAGTCCATAAAGTCTGCAGTAGCACTAAAATAATAATAATAACATAAATAAAAATAGCTTCTGGTTAGAGGGAGAGGATTAGTTTACTGCTGCCCTGCTGAGGTACATCTGACCACCAAGAGCAGGAAAGCCATTAGCATTCTGAATTAATGGGTACAGTGGTTTTCAAAAGAGATATTTTCATGATGGACACATTGTGAACTCAGCAAAGTTTCTCCTTCAAGAAAAATATAGCTTCTATTTCAAAGAACTCTGATTAGGCTTAATACCATTAGGGAACCATCAAGGATTTGTGTTGTTGTTACTGCTTTAACTATCAGTTATTTTCTAAACCAAAAATTGTGGGTAGTTAACTTGACCGACAGTCAAGGTTTAGGAATGCAGGAGCAAATCCAAGGTACAGACAAGCTTCAAATGCGGACATGCATCAAGGAAGACAGAATCTTTTTAGGTTGTCAGGTCCTAGCCTTTTCTCATCATCACCATTATCACTGTTATTACTTGACTGGAATTTACAAATAAAAACTCATTTGTACCATCACATCCATCCTAATTGAATAGCATTGAATATTACACAACTTTAGGAATCCTCGGTAAACTTTAACAGAGGCAATAAATATGAGTACAATCAAAAAACAAGGCCAAAAAAACAAATTTACCTAATGAATAAATTCTCAACCACTACTAACTATGCATAAGCTACCTGACTAACTGTTTAAAAAGTAATCATTTCCTTATTATTTAATAATAAGGGAGACTGGGTATGGAGTATGTGGGTATTCTCTGTACTTTGTACAATAATCCTATAACCAAAAATATAGATGTTTTCAATTTCCATAATACTTGGAAATTGTAAATAAAGGTTCAAAAGACCATATACAAAAGTCTATGAAGCAAAACTTATTTTTCAATTTACATTTATTTTGTTATATAAAATTATGCAAAACTGTGCATGTTTTCTCATCACACATGGAAGTTCGTATCCAAATGTCTTTTCCACCAAACACTTATTCTTTCTTCATTATCAGAATCTTCACTTTGACTCATGGGTGGATTTTTCTTCTTTGGCAATTCTTTTTGTTACCCCACTGAAATACTTCTCGCGGAAGGAATTATGACCTTGGTATGGCAACAAGTGATCACTTATCAGGTGTGAATACTGGTCCCGGTTCTGGTTGATTGGAAAATACAGAAAATAAAGGTGTTTTGAGTTATTTTTTAAATTAACTTGCAACCAAGCATTTACTTTGCTTTAAGTAAAATTTTGCTCTCTGATGTACATTTATCTTTACTGCCTGAATTAGAAATCTACCACCATTTCCTATCTGTATCATGCTTGAATATCCAAAGTATTTTCACGCACTTTACTTTATTTGATCCACACAACCCTCGGCACAGAAGAAAACAAATACCTTTATTAGGAAAACAGAGACTAGAAAAAAAGATCAAAATATTCATCCCAATTTAATAATAAGGGAGACTGGGCATGGAGTATGTGGGTATTCTCTGTACTTTGTACAATAATCCTATAAATCCAAAGTAGTTCTAAATTGAAAATGTTATTAGAAAAAAATATATACAGGTTAAAGAAAAAGGTGAAAATATCTGAATGGACATGAAGAATATAAGTAGAGGGCCATCACCTCTGTGTGGGAGGTAAGACAATTAGTCCCATGTCAGGACTAATTCTTAACATCTTCTATTCCTTCTTTTGGACAAACTGAAGTCCCTGTGACCATAAAAGCTACCAAACAAGTCTCTACTCTAAAGGTACAGCCATCAAATCATCGCATCTGCATGCAATAATAGATAAATGAAAAGTGGAAGACTACCCCTTATTCCATTAATAAAATAAACTGTTCTGACAGCCTAAGTAACCACAGTAGAGAATGACTTTCACACTTGTAGGTAGGATAAGTGCTCAGACTGACATTTAGTTACTGGAAATATGATCCTGGGTCGAAATGCCATACTTGAACTTAAACTAAGGGATAAGTAACAAAAAAACAATGAAACAGCAGTGTCTCATCAAATTTGACCATCTCAAACTATGAAAAACCAAATTAGAAAATCTAATTTTCATTAGTTCATATTCAATTACATATTGAAATTATTAATGTGATATTTTAGAATGGGCATGGGAACACTAGAATAGTCCTTTTTTAATGCTAACTTTAGTTCAAAATGGTATCTATGATCTAAAATATAATGATCCCTAAAATAATTTTATTTTTTTTTCTTATTCCCATGTGAAATTTTTATTCTTTTATCATTAATAGGATTCCTTGAAACATTAATAAAAAACAAGTTACCCTCACCCATCAATACAAACCTAGGTTTAACCGAAATAAAACTATGTTGGCTCCTTTATTTAAAAAAATGATTATATATCACTGAAATTTTCTAAGAATACTCAAAACACAGATTATCAAATATGCACAGACTCTGATTCATCAAAGGTAAATAGGTGGTTACTTCAATTTTGTGGCACTAAGTAGACTACTGTTCCAAATTCTGTTAAACATCTGAAAAGACGTCAATGGTTACTACTTTCAGGCTATGGACAATCAACAGAAATTTTTTCTGGTTGACCTAGAGGTATATTACTAACGTTAGTACTTAATGGGTATGTATTATGGACCCACATCTACACTAAATGCTTTAAAAGAACTATCTAATATAAACTCATCAGTGCTAAAAGATAAGTACACTATTATCACCATTTTACAGATGAGGAACAGGCTCAAGATAACAAAGCTGGTAGGTGACAGTTATGATTTAAAATAGATCTGTTTGACTTTCTTTACTCCAAACTATTTTTTTAAAGATTTATTTATTTATTCATACAAAACTGGGGTCCAAGCCAGAGGTAGATGGATGGTGAAAAGGCTTCATCAGAGACAAAGTGGGGAGCAGAACAGGCAGATCAATGAAGTACACTGCTGAGGGGAGCAGCGGGCGAGTCAGGAGAGGTCTGTCGCACCAGGTGGATCACTTTCTGGGTCGAGAATTGAACTCGCACTGACGCGGCTGTGGCCAGCTTACAGTGCTGCATCCTAACCCATTACGCCACCAGGGAAGACCTACCCCAAACTATATTCTTATCTACAACATAATGAAATTTTCTCCAGAAGAAGTCTCACAACTACCCAGTCCTAAAATCCTAACATTTCTGCATCATAAATATTTCAAATCCACATTTTACCCCTAATACTAGTATTTTAGCTTAAGCCTCCTCATTTCTCCTTTTTTCCTAAATGGGCTATTAACTCTCCCTGGGTAGCTTCCTCTCTTAGTCTAGTCTCATAGAGACCAAACTCAACTTATGGTAATACAGATCTAAACTCCCAATGTTTGGCTGAAATCCAACTGAGTTCTATCTTCTCCAGTTCTGAGGCATTTCTCTTAGTGTCGGAGAGTTAGACTTAATTAGATATCCATTTGCTCAATGACCTCTCACTTTTCTGTAGAAGCAGGAGAACTCAGCCTGGCAAAAAGTTATGCCCAACTCTGTCCTCCTGTCTTCTCTTCTCCCTGAGATCCCTCCAAGCAATGTGAGATCACTTATACATTGAGAAGCATGTAGGGAATGTCCTGGAACTGCAGTAGTGAGGACAAGAGAGAGCAGAAATGTGTGGTTCCAGCATGTCAGCTCAGAAGATGAGAAAGCAGTGCACCTGGAGAACCAAGGCTGCCAAGTTATGCAGCTCACCAGGGAGAGCAGGAGATAAAAGCCAAAGCAAAATGAAAGCAAGCCTTCCTCAAAGACATAGAAAGAGCTTAACAAACTAGCTTGTCTTTAATGGGAAAGATATTAATAGGGCAAAGTGATGATAAAGAACAGAGAATGAATAGAAAGTGCCAGAGTCAGAGACTGAGAATGAACAACAGAAACCTGGGAAACACAAAAGCAATGATTAAAACTTATAGAAATTACTGGTTAGCAAGAAAACATGTATTACCTACAATATTCTTTATCTGAATAGTTTATACCCCCAAATCCTCTCTGATAAGCCACTATTAGACCATGTTCAGTGGCAGAGAAAAAAAACACTACTAGAAAAATTGGCGATATCATTAACCTTAGAAAAAAAATCTCTAAAGGAAAAAAAAAAAAACCAAAAAATCATATTTTCTTTATCGCCCAGGAAACAGAGGAGAATCAATGTGAGGTACATGGTTGGGTCCTATGCTGGGATGCCTCCTTCCCTAAGGCTGACTGCCTCTGATTGTAAAATAAGACATCCATTAACGTAAACTTTGGGAGAATCCCAAAGCTCCAATCTCTTGTGCAGTCAGGGATGTGGTAAGAGCCATTACTATGCCTGGCAACCTAAGTCCTGTTCCAAGATAAACCGCAAAGACACTCCAGTAACTCTGGCTGCAATGAAACATTCAGTAAATTCATGGTCAGTTGTAGGCTATTACATCTTACATGTAACTACCTTAAACCTAAGAATCCACATTTAATATATAGCTATGGAATGTACTATGTGAAGCATGCAAAATATATTAGGCCAGTGCTGGAGAAAAAAATGGCAAACTAAAAAAAAAAATTTGTTTTGCTTTCCTTTCTACCTCTTGTTCACCTTATCTTCAGTTAAGCATACCAGGGCTCTCACTGAGATGATGATATTCAATTCTACATATTTTTCATCACCTTTCATGGCTCTTCTCAATTCACATTCCCTGCTCATTTCAACCAAGAATATCTGCAGGTTTTTTTTTTTTTTTCAATTCAGTATCTCAAAGGCCAAAGTGTCTACTTAAAAGGAAAAAAAGAGTATCCTCAAGTCACACGACCCTTGATCTCGCTCTCTAACTCAAACTTGCCCAGTGTCTGGCTTTTGGTTTCTCTTAACTCACATCTGTCTACATTTATCAGTTTTGATATGATCTACATGAAAAGACTCGAGTTCTGCGAATTTTTAGTAAGCAAGAAATGGTTGATGGAAAGTAAAAACAGAATCTGGAAATGCCAAAAGAGAAAAAATTATGGCAATGTGAGATTATAGACTGTTTTTCCTTAAATTTAGTTAAGTACTGGTTAAATTCTAGAGCATGGTAATAGTAAAGAGCTCTGAAAAGCAATCAACATTGCTGATTGTAGCATTTACTGTTGATCATTTTTTTTCACAACCAGAACTAAGAGTTTCTGTAGGTAGCCACAGGTGGCTACATAATGGAAACAAACAGCTTTCAAACCTATCCCTTAACCTTTTACCTTATAGGAAAAGAGCAATTTTATAAGAAACATGCAAGTTCTGATTCAAAACAACATGTATGTTACATATAAATCATGCACAACCATGTGTTTTATGTGAGTGAATTATTTAACTTTAAGCTTATTTTCACAGAGTGCTATCTACATTTTACAGATATGGAAAGGAAGACTGACTGAAAGAGTTTTAATAATCTATCAAAGTTAGCTAACAAGTAACACCCTAGAGCAGAAGTCAAAGTTCATGTTTTTTCCAACACTTTTTTTCTTTTGGTAGAAATGACATCATACCAACAGTTAAGGAGTTAATTTCCCACAAATAGAGTTTGACATTTAGAGAACATTCCTCACTGAACAGCAACATTATGGTAGCACACATTTCAGATCTACACTTTCAGACAGAACCCCTTTAACCACTGTTCCACCCAGCCAATTTCCTGTCCTATCAGTACTACTAATTCTAAACATAAACCACTCGAGGAATTTTAACACAGTAGCCAAAGAAACCAGAGCAAGCCTTACTTACAAAAATCAGCAGTGTACTTTTATGTGTACACTGCCCTCTGCTGGCTGGAGCAGAGCTGACCACACATCTGACAGGAGCATTGTTTCCTCAGCTGTCTGAGAGCCCTGTTGGCTGCAAACATCTGGAGTTATACAGATGTTATCAACATAACCAGGATGGCCACTTTCCTTCAGGAAGCATCAGCATCCATTCACACCATTTCACTTTTTAAGAAGATATAGAAATACATAAACACATTCACCTTGGTGATTCTAAAAAATCTATCATTTCATCTATGGTCAACCTAGAATTACAAATTATTCCCTAGAATTAGAAAAAGTAGATAAAGCTAGGTCCTGGATTAAGTTAATTGTTAATTGATGTTGACATTAAAAACAGCAATCAAAAGAACAATAAAAAAGACATTAAATCACTTATAATCACT